TATTATGTGATGCCAAGAGAGAGCAGCAAGTTTATTCCTCATATTACTATAATTGTTTGTGTGTCTATTTCCTTCAGCTCTTAAATATTCTTCCTTTAACTTAGCATTTTTTCTCCCCATGAGAGTAAAAGCTATTCTCCTGAGAGTCCCCCGTGGACACTACATGGGCTTCAGGGGCAAATAATGACATTCTTGTGCGGCACTATAGTTGGGTTTAATGTGACCTTGCCTGATTCCCCTTTGAACCCAATTTAAGTCACAAAACAGCACCAGGAGATCAGCACAAAAAAGCCCAGATCCCCATATCTCCAACAAAGCATCTTTTGTTTCATCAAGCTCGTTGTAATTTTTCTCAGACTATGCAAGAAAAATGAAAAACTAGTCCTTGTAGTCCATCACTGATCAAAGCAACATATTAAAAAAGATCAAAATATTAAGGTTGATGCCTGCATATCATCAATGTCTACATGTGGCGAACAGTCATTCCCAGCTTCCCTCTCCATCCTCTCGAGTAGACCATCACCCATTCGTTTTTTTAGGTGGGCTGAATTACACATGGTCCTCCACAGGTTACAGAGGTAGCCTGGGGTGATTCAGCTCTCAAAACCTTATCTCATACGCCTGTTGGCTAGTGACATAAATCCAGGATGTAAAAACCACTTGGACAGAGATCAGTCATGTGTTTAGAGCAGTGTTTTTTCTAGGTGGAAGGACAGTGAGAACAGAGTTGAAGCAATACAGGACTTTGGAAAATGGCAGGATATGAGTGAGGATAAAATACCAATTCAGGTAATTTCATCCAGAAACTATATGGATGTTGGAAGCAAGAACATAACAGAAAACCTCTAGGCAGAATCAAGTAGAAAAGAATTGTCCTGATTCTCATTTCAGTTGCTGAATCACCTGTTCTGTGGGTGAAATTTCTTCTCAACTTTTACACCAGCTGGAGTATATTTCACATATACTATATGTGGCATATTTCACATATACTATATAAACACATATGTATATGCCACAGTATATTTCTGTTCTTCCCCATGATGCATACCACAGGCCAAAAT